GATTGAGGCTATTTTTGCAAAATAGCTTATTTGGCCAAAAGATGGCTAGAAGTGCAAAATTTGGCTAAGACCCCGCAAAGCCAAGAACCTAAGATTCGCTAGGAATACCGGACCCTATGTGGGTTTCCTACGTATCACGCCCCGAAAGACAAGAATCAGGTATGCGTAGTTCAGGCAGATTGGATGCGGTCGAGAATTTAAAAAAAAAACTAATTTAGAGAAAACATATTTTTTGCCTTTTCCTTGAAAATGATGAAACATGCAACATCTTTTTTTTTGGATTTTCTTTTTCCTTCTTTTTTTTATTTTTGATTTTTCGGAAAATGATGCAAAAGTGCAAAATCTTTTTTTTTTTTTTGAATTTTCAAGTTCTTTTTTTTCTTTAACAAAATGTGACAGAAAACATAATTAGGCCCCACTCGTTTTATCTTCACACTTCAACCTCTTTTTCTTTTCTTTTTCTTTTTCATTTTCCCTCAACTATCATTGGTCTGCCGAATGACCCTTTTACCCTTGAAGAAATGCAACATGTAGCACATAGGATGCACCAAGATGGTCTGTTATTTTGGGTACATCTGTCCTAGACGGACCCAACCCCTGTGTTGAGTCCCCTAAGTCAAATGCATGTGATGCAAACAAGTGTTCCTACTAGGGATCCGGCCTGAAGCTATGTTTTTCTAGGTTTAAATCCTGGGGTTTTGTTCTAGATTTGGGTACCCGAGCGGACAACTGGAGCTGAAGAGGGGGCGATGTACCGGGATCACAGAAGTATACCCGGCCTTGTCGCTTGCCTAGCCTCATTCTATTTGGTATAATTTCTACAGAAAAAGCGGGACACGCGAATGTTTGCACCATTTTCAGAAGACTTAGAGGGGTGGCGTAAGAAGACAGATATATACAATTCAAACAATATCAAAGCGGTAAATAGGCAGCAATTAGCAAAAAGGTTCACAAAATACAGTAATATCAACAATAAATAAAGCCAAGCAAAATCATATTAACAAGCTCGAATTCTTGAACCCTGAACCAGAGATTCTGGGTTCGTTCCCTAGAAGAGTCGCCAAAGCTGTCACACCTCCTTTTTACTACACCCTGCGAGAAGGGTGTATAAGAGAGTTTTTTCCAACTTAAAGTGACAATCAAAATAGAATTATTTTTTATTAAAATTCAGAGTTGCCACTTGGGATAATTTATGGCGTCCCAAGTCACCTGTTTAGAATTCCGAATCGAGAAAGTTGACTCTTATTTACGGTTTGCGAACACAAAAATCCGGGTAAGGAATTCTGTTAACCCGGGAGAAGGTGTTAGGTATTCCCGGATTCTGTGGTTCTAGCACGGTCTCTTAGCAATTTATACTTGGCTTAAATTATTTAACTACTCATTTTTAGGACCTACGTGCATTTACCTTTTACCACTTTTTAATTAACAATATTATCTTGAAACTACGTATACCCATTTGTTTGGCGCGTCAAAAATCATGTCACGCAAACGTGTCCACAATTAATAACGCTTTATTATTATTAGGAAAGTTTGGCCAAAGTTGCACGAATGCATACTCCGGTTATATTTTTAGAAGTCACAATCATGTCACGCGAACGTGTCCACAACCACAATGATATATTAAATCGTGCCTAAAGCAAACTATGAACATTTGTTATTTGTTATATCCAAATTATGAAATTAATAGAGGGCCATATGTGATTTAATTGTAGATGGCACACCTCAAACTATATAAATTAGAATATATTAATAGCCTATGAAAACCCATTTTTGTTATTGAGAAGAATTTGATCGAAGTTGCACGAACACATACTCCGAATTGATTTTTAGAATTGTAATTATGTCACGTGAACGTATACACAATCACAATTGTATTTTAAACGACCCTAAAGGTTGTTCTACGAATATTATTAATTAACTAAGCTACAATATGCGCGAGGACCAAGACTCGTAGCTATCAACCATATGGCTTCATTTAAGCACACAGAACTACGACACAGTTTAATTCAATGCTTCTCATAAATACACCCACGTTTCTCTAACTAACGCACTGCCATTAACAACTCAAGTTTCAAAAGTCACCTATTCATTCTCAAATTCACTTTTTCAATTAATTATCTAGGTGAGAGCATTCATATGACAGGTAAAAACTCAAACGTTAGCTCCATAATATTTGGCCGTGGTGTGTCCTTTTACAGGGGAAGTATAACATGAATCTATGATAAATATGGCGAAAATACAATGCTTTCGAACATGGAATGGATGTCAACTAAAGCTCAAATATTCATCAAGCTAAAATGATCATAGCATCACAGATAATTTCAAATCTTCCGAAGGAATAGGCCTGATTACATGCACTGAATACATGGCTTTGTCAAATGAAAAACTCATGCTCTATAGCTATACACCGGATGAAAAATCTAAATGCAATCAAGCACTGAATTAACCGAGCAACTTCACATCTAAACCTTAACTAATTCTGGAAATGCATTTATCATTCTGTTATGAACGGTCCATTCATGTAAATAAAGTGCAAGTGCTATTACTACAGTCCATTATTCTTAAATTACACACTAAATATAAATAATTGAACTACCATAAGCTATTAGCAAGCATGAACCAACAATCCCACACAAACCAGAAACTGAACTACTATACAACTGAAACATTTAATCATACATGATGGTAGTAAATAACAGTAATTGCATCAGAATTTTAAGACTTCTATTCAAACTTCAACTTGTATTTCCAAATCTTCATACATGCTAGTCAATGCTCAATTTTATGACAGGTCTTGAGGGTGTACTTGGAGATTGCAAAAGGAAAAGAGGTGAATGCAGTAAACAGCAACAACAATAGCACTCAGCACCCAGAAAATGAGCCAACAGACTAATTTTAAACCCAGCAGATGAGATACAATAATCCAAACACTAATTTCAGTCACTCAATGAACCAGCAGACCTCAAACCAGACTTGGCCTCAGCCCATTTGAGTATCAGCTAACCACAAATTGCTTCAACACTAGAAAAACTTTAGAAAACACTCAAAGAACTCAATGTAACAGTGTTATTTTCTTAAAATTCTTCAGCCGTTTTGATTTTCTGATTTTTTTTCTTCACTTTTCTATCCTTCCCTCCATTCAATTCCCATTAGCAATGCCTTTATAGGCAAACTATTAGGGCAGCTATCAGATTTTATTGTTTCAATTCTAGTCCCTTTCTAATTCTTATTTTTGCNATTTGATATGTAGTCCAATTAAATGTTTATGGACCCGGATTAGAACTACCCAGAATTTCCAAACCAAGAAACCTAGAACCAATTCTTTGAAAACAAGCCGAAAGAGAAGCAATAATGAATGAATTAACCATTTTAGTTTCATAATAACAGTTAACTAAATCATGGACCTAATTTCATTATCTAGGTGATTTACTAATGATGAAACAATAATTAGCTATTAGCACAACGACTAATTACCAACAAACAAAGTGGATTAAAAAAACTCAGATATTTTAATTAATAAAAGAAAAGAAGAGGAACCGGTTTGAACTCAGAATACTCCAAACAAGTTTTGACCAGCCCAAAAGAAAGGGGATGAGGAGGAAGATGAACCAGTGAAAGAAAATTACAAGAGAGGAAGAAGAATTTACCCAATCATGCTCGAAGCCAAACGGATACAGAAACTTAACCAAACTTATGTCAAATCCGTTGTTCTTTGTCAAGAACAACTGAATCGACATCAGTTTTGTCGAGTCAAACCCTCAAACATTGAAAGAAATGCACTGCATGTTACCAGGCTCGGCGGAAGATAATTTTGAACTATTGAGTTGTACTCGAATTTACGGTTCTACGAGTTCAGCACTGATTCGAAGGGTATGGGTTGGAGATTTAGAGAGAGGAGATCATGGTGGCTATGTGGTATGATTTTGGCGTTGAAAGGAGGTGGCGCCGCCACCAGAGACATCGTGGCGGCGCTAGGGTTTCATGTTTTTTATCTAAGATTTGCATTCTATCCATATTTGAGGCGTGAGGAGTGGAGGTTTGGAAAGAGGAGGGTGAGACGATGATCTGGTGTAAATTTGGTAGCGATTGGATGTCGGCCGTCGCCGTAGGCGATTTCCGGTGGGTGGCGGACGATGGCTCGGGGCGGAGCTCGGCGGGGCTTTGAAAGGTTGAAGGAGATGACTAGGGGTAGGGGGCTGTTTGGACATATATGTATTAAGTAGAACCCACTTCAGGGCCGTTGGATCTCCTTACCTCGACGGTCCTGATCACTTCGGATGAAACGACATCGTGTGGGGTGGGGGAGATCCGGACTGAGTTTTGGGGGGACTGGTCTAGGTTGGAACGGGTAAACTTGGGCGGGTTTGGGCTTAGGAAAGCTAATTTGAAGTGGCCCAATTTTATTCTCATTTTAAATCCCTTCTCCTTTCATTTCTTGTCACAAATTCTTTTTGTTTTGTTGTTTTCTTTTTTCCAAAAAAAAAAACAACAAATTTAAATTAATTCCTAGACCCTAATTGACCTAAATATACTAATTAAGCCTAAATGATAATTATCAAAATTAATTAACCAACCAATTAAAAGGAGAACTACTCCAAATTGAAGTTTAGAATAAAAATGCAAATTAAACTATTTTTGTGATTTCCTTTTACATAAAATAACTTAATTACTAATTAATTCTTAAAAATGCAAAGGTAAACCCTAAATGCAAATTCAACATATATTTTTTTTGTATTTTTTCACTAATTAAAATGCACAAACAAAAATGCGAACAATTATAAAAAAATATCATGAAAATCCACAAAATTGCAAACACTGAAAGAAATTATTTTGTTTTGAATTTATGGGAGTAATTCATATAGGGTGAAAATTACATGCTCACAATAAGGATCCCAAGTGTCAACATGAATAAGTTGGAAAGGTTTATTGGTCTGAATGTTGTTGTTAGGGAAGGGAAGCCTAGTTTGTCTAGCCATAGGACATACATTACAAGGAAAACATTATTTAGAAGAAACAGAGAGAGCAGAAATAGTCTTCATTCTCATAAAAGGAACATGTGCAAGTCTTTGGTGCCAAACAATGTCCATATTATCTTGTGCATCTTTATTACAAGTGGAAATGGAAGTATTTACAGAAGTGGGGGAAACATCAGAATACAAGCTGCAAGAATTAAAATTTTCAGCAACATAATTGTGTGGAAGAGATGTCAAAGGCAACTCTGACTTGTAGAGTCCATCATCCACTCTACCAAGCTCCAGAGGCTTCTTCAAAAATGGCCCTGGATAAAACAACCAATATAAGTGAACATAACTATACAACGCAATTGATGTACCAGTCTATTCACAGATATTAAATTGTGATGAAAAGAGGGACATAAAGGACATTGTGTAAGGTGATAGATTCATTTAATGAGTAGGATCATGTAATTGTGACCTTTGACTTTATAGCCATTTGGAAGAGAGACTAGATAAGGAATAGTTAAGGGAATTATATTAAAAGGGACATCTTTATTTGAAGTCATGTGATCAGTGGCACCAGAATAAATTATCCAGATTAATTTTGTAGAGTTTGTAGAGTTGGTAGTTTTTGTCAGCATACAAGAATTAGAACCAGACACTATAGGATCAGACAATAATATACCAGCAAAATTGGCAGATGCCATGAGATGAGGTGGAGTGATTGAATCAGATAGTTGAGATTGCTGAAGAAGATTTATCAACTGAGTGTACTGTTGTTGTGTTATACCAGGCACTGCAGACTTTTGACCCTCAGAAGCCACAATAACACCATTGTTGGCATTAGGAGTGTGGCCAGATGATTTTGGGTTGGAATCATTGGAGAATTCACATTCTGTAGTCACATTGACTGCAATTCTCTTGTCTTTCGTAAACTTGAAATTAGGAGGAAATCCATGAAGCTTGTAACACTTATCAATTAAGTGTCCAGGCTTCTTGCAATATTTGCAAAAGAGATTACTCAAGTTTTCTTTACTCTGGTCAAAATTAACCCTTTGAGTATACTGTTTTTGAGGCTGAACAAAAGATGCCTTGTTGTTGAGTCCAGATACATTAAAGGATGCAGATTCAGAACTAAAATTTGGACCAGGATTTACTTGTCTGTATTTTTCATCTTGTAAGAGGATATTATAGGTGTTATCAAGTGATGGAAGTGCTTGCATCATCAAAATATTACTCCTAACCCCAACATATATCACATTTAGACCCATTAGAAATTGGTGGACTCTATCCTCTTCTTCTTCTTTCAGAAGTTCTGCTCTAATAGGGAATGCGCAAGCATTTACTTTATTACTACACATTACCCTAAATTTATCCCATAATTTCTTAAGTTTGTTGAAATAGGAAGTTATGTCAAGAGCCCCTTGCATAGTGGAAGCAAGTTCTTTCTTTATTTCAAAAACTTTTGTCCCATTAACTGTCCCATATCTTTTATTTAATTGTTCCCAGATGCTTTCAGTAGTTTCTGAATATTGAACACTCTCAGCAATTTCTGGAGAAAGTGAACTGGTCAACCAAGAAATGACCATATTATTACATATGTTCCATTTTTAATGTGTGGAGAATTTTCAACAGGTTTAGGGAAAGTACCATCTACGAAACCAATTTTATTCTTAGCAGACAAAGATAAAATTATATTTCTTTTCCACCCACCAAACCCAGTACTAGAGAAAAGTGTGTGGACTAAGGAAATCCCAGGGATATTGGAGGGATGGAGGAACATGGGACTGGAGGAATCAATAGCAGTAACATTACTGGTTTCATCAGTACTACCCATTGTTCACAATCCAAAATACACCAAACACAAAATACCACCACAACAACCCTTTGAGTTCGAGGAGTACATCACCTCTAGTGTAAATACAAAATTTTGAGAAGAAACAATACTACCAGTCTCTTTTGCAACCGAAAAGTGTACGACCTTGATAATCACGAGAGTCTCCAGAAAAATCAGGATTTGAAGGCTGGAAATCGAAAACCCTAATTTCGACGGTGAAATCAAACCCTAGCTTCAAATGAATATTGGAACCCTAGCTTCAACAACGACAGTCGCCAACTCGAAACCAAGAGAAAAACTCAAATGAACCGAGATATTGAAGATATATGCTGGAAATTGCAGAGAATTCGAAGAAAATCGAAGAAAATACTTTGCAAGAGAAAAAAATGATTCTGAATTTTTCTTCTCTAAAATGAACGAGGGTACCATCGCTTGATTCGGCATGACGAGATCAATCAGGATCCATGTTATGATACCATGTGAACATCCTAAATCGAATGAGATTTTGGAAAGAACCTGATTAGAGTTTTGTAGAATGTTCGAGAAGAGAGAAATAAGAGAGAGTGAATTTGTGGCTCAAAAATCTAATTAGCCTTTTAGCCTTTTTCTATTTATATATGTGTCCTTTACAAAAGAAGTGCTCATTACAAAAAAAAAGCCTAACTAATTTTTTTTTTGTACAATAAAATAATATCTGGCCAAAACGCTAAGATTGCCTTATTGGTTCTGAAGCCAAGTATTTTGATAGCCCAACAAAACTTTACAACACAAATAAATCCAAAAGCAGAAGACAAATCCAATCGAGCAATTCATATAACATTTATGCAAAATATATACATCTTTCCAACGTGGCTTTATTGCGAGATACAATTTGCATCTCTTTATACAACACCATGCAATTGTCATACAATATTGTATAATTTTCATGCAACTGTCATACAATTTTGATATATCTTCAAGCGTGTGTTACCTACAGTTTGTCTGTCATGCTTCATACAATTACATCGTACAACTTTCATACAATTTGTATACAACTTGTCTACAATTAAGTACTTATTATGCGTAACGACCTGACCGGTCGTTTTGAGCTTTTGCACTTTGCTCGCTAGTTATCGGATATGACTAGCCCCGTGTAATGTATTATGACTTATGTAATCATCGGTTTTGGTTTTCAGGGTAATCAGAGTGAATTTGGAAGAATAGTTCTTAGTTTGAAGCTTGAAATTTGAAAGGTTTGACCAAGATTTGATTTGTTAGTAGATGACCTCGGATTGGAATTTTTATGATTTGGTTAGCTCCGTTAGATGATTTTGGAATTAGAAGCGTGGTCGGAATGTGTTTTGGAGGTCCGCGGAAGGTTTAGGCTTGAATTGGCGAAATTGGATTTTTGGCATTTTCCGGTTAATAGGTGAAATTTTGATATAGGGGTCAGAATGGAATTCCTAAAGTTTGAGTAGGTTTGATAAAGGCTTGAATCTTATGTAATTTTAGTGTTATGATATTTTTTTGAGAGTTTTGAAGGTTGGAACAGGTTTGAACGATGTTATGGGATATGTTGGCATGTTTGGTTGAGGTACCGAGGGCCTAGAGTGAGTTTCGGGTGGTTAAACAGATCAATTTTGGACTTTGGACTTGGCAGTTTTTGCTTATTTTTGTTGCAGACGATTTGTTCTTCGCGTTCGCGAAGGGTGTTCTCTAAGGCGGCGAATTTTGTCTTCGCATTCGCGTTTTGTGTTGTGTTCGCGATGTTGCGATGCTGTGATTCTCCGCATTTGCATAGAGGAAGAGGAGTAGCTGGGTCCCCAATGCATTTGTTCTACGCGTTCGCGTAGTAGGGATCGCGTTTGCGAAGTTTTGAGTCTGTTGTGCATCGCGTTCGCGAGAGGTTTCTCATGTTCACGTAGAAGGAATTCATATCAGTGAAGCAGAGTGCTTTGCAAACGCGAGGGATATGCCGCGTTTGCGATGAAGAAATATCTGGGCAGACAGTTTATATTTTAAAATTGAGGGTTTAAGTCCAATATCATAAAGCCATTGGAGAGTTCAGGAGAAAGTAATATTTGAGGGAATTTTCAGTTGAGCTATTGGGGTAAGTATTCTTCGCTCATATTTGGTCTAATTCCATGATTTACTCTTGAATCACATCATTTAATTTGAGAAACTAGAGTGAAAATTGGGGAAAATGGAAGAAGCGTTTGAGAATTCTTTTTGGGATTTGAATAGGCAATTAAGGTCGAATTTTAATGAATTTGATATGGGTAGACTCGTGAGTGGATGAGGATTCTATTGATGTTACGTTTATCGGATTTCGAGACGTGGGCCCGGGGGCCAGGTTTGAGCAATTTTGGGATTTTTGATGTAAATTGGATATTTTCGACTGAGTTTTGCTCCCTTAGCATATTTTAATGGTTATGTACTGATTTAGGTTAAATTTGGAGCATTCGGAGGTCAATTCGAGAGGGAAAAGGCATCGCGAGCTAGAGCTTGGACCGGATCGAGGTGAGTAATGATTGTAAATGTTGTCCTGAGGGTATGAAACCCCGGATTTACACATCGTAGTGCTATATGAGGTGATTCACACATTAGATGACGAGCGTGGGGTAGTTCACCGTTAGGGATTGTGAGGTAGTCCATCCCGAATGACTGTTTTACCGCGTATTTGATTGAAAACTATTTGCTATCATCATGTTTTGGACTGAATGCCATGTTTAGGCCTCGTGCCAACTATTTGGACCCCTAAGGGATTTTTACTGATATTTCCTCACTGTTTTGACTTTATACTTGTACTTAGTCATGCTATATTCTACTGTTTTTCATAACTCAACCATGTTTACTCTGCTTCAACACTTAAAATAATATTTTAAATGATATTTTGGGCTGAGCACCATGTTTTACTGTTGCCCAAATAGCTTGTGAGATTGTGACTGAGTAAGGCTGAGGGCTTATGTTGTGAGAAAACACTAATTATGATTATGAGGCCGAGGGCTTGAGATTTTTATGCCACGAGGTTGATGTGCCTTTACGTGATTTCTTATTTCTCAATCTGCATTTATTGTTATTACTCACTGAGTTGGAGTACTTACTTCACTCCCTGCACCCCGTGTGCAGATTCAGGCGCTTCAGGTCCTGCTTGCGAGGGTTGAGAGCTTCCAGTAAACTTCGGAGATTCACTAGGTAGTTGCTAGGCGTTCTCAGCCCAGTGCTTCTCACTCTATCTTATTTTCTTCTGTTTTGGTTATGTAATAGTTGAGTAGACTTTTTAAGACTTGTAGTTGTTATGATAGAAGCTCATGACTGGTGACACCCCGATGTCGGGCTGTGTTGGTTTTATATTCCGTAAATTGTACTTTTTTCACTGCTTAATTGAGATTTAATCGTGTTAAAGACTTAAATTGTGTATTTTTAATTATTAAAAGGAATTGGGTGTTGTGTCGGTTGGCCTTGTCTGCACGAGAGGTACCATCACGATCGGGTCTGGGTTTAGGGCCGTGACAAGTTGGTATTAGAGCTAGGTTACATAGGTCCCACGAGTCATGAGTAGGTTTAGTAGAGTCTCACAGATCGGTACGAAGACGTTTGTACTTATCCTCGGGATGTTGCAGAACCTTTAGGAAAAGCTTCACATTCTTGAACTCTTATCGTGCGTCCTTGATTCAGCTTGAAATGTAATTCCTTGAATTCCTTCCACGCATTCGTATGCGCGCATGAGTTCTCAGTATCAGATATGCATCGATGGCTTGTGATTCCCTGATTGAGGGGCGAGATGTGATCTCTGTGTGTTGATGCTGGGCCAGTCTGGAGGACTTGAGGCCGGGTTTTGCCTACAGCTTGAGCACTGAGGCGTTGATTGTGTGAGCACGTGTTCTTGAACTTATATGTTCGGTAGTGTCCCTATTAGTAGAAGTGATGGTTGGATGGCGATGTGATGAGTATGTTATGGCTGCGAGATGTATTCATATGATTTGGAAGAGACGAGAAGGGTCTGGTAGAGGATAGAAGAACTATTAGGTGTCACACCTCATTTTTACCTACACCTCGGAAGGGTATAAGGGGGTTTTTTCCAACTTAAAGTGACAATCGAAATGAGATTATTTATTTATTAAATTTAGAGTTGCCACTTGGGATAATTTATGGTTTCCCAAGTCACCAGTTTCAAATCCCGAATCGAGGAAAGATTGACTCTATTTTATAGTTCGCGAACACAGAAATCCGGGTAAGGAATTCTGTTAACCCGGGAGAAGGTGTTAGGCATTCCTGAGTTCCCTGGTTCTAGCACGGTCGCTCAACTATTATAATTGGCCTATTATATGATTTTAGTACATGTTTTAGCCTATGGTTCCATTTTAACTTTATAACCGCTTTTATTTATTTTAAGGAAGATTTCAACGTCATCTAAAACACATCTTGGACCACGTCACATAAATGCACCCGCGGTTCACGACCCATTTTATCCAACATTGCTGAGATTTGGATTTGGGTCACATAAATGCACACCCGAGTTTAGGAAGGTAATTATTAAAATATCGCGCCTAAAGCAACTACGCGCTTTTAACTTTGTGAGGGCCATGGAAAATTTGCTAAATGGCGCACCTCGAGTTCTAAGGATAAAAATATTAATTAAATGAGGGCCGTGCAATTTATGGTTTTATTTGACATGGCGCACCTCCAATCTAATTTTAAAAAATTCACATTAAACTCGGAGGGCCATAAGCTATTGGTGTTGTCTAGTATGGCTCACCTCCACTAACTAATCAAAGAAGCAGGGAAGATTGTCACTAATTTTGGGTTAAACATTTGAACCGATTTGAAAATTTAATGAACCATCACTGGACGAGATGAGCATATAGCGGACGTATGAGAGCAAACTATTGGGCTTGACTACACATCCCTATACATAAAGAAATTCGACTTGCTTCTCAATCCAGCCCAATGTGAGTCCCAAAATTCTGATGGCTAAGCGTCAGGCAGGGGTGGGATTCGAGGTCGAACCCCCAAGCACA